CAATCAGTAATAAGACGAGGGTCATGCGAACTTATGAAGTGGGAGCTACACTAGACCTTAGTAACAGTCTGTAGGGTTCTAACGTGAAGCATAGGAGACCTAATAGATCTTGCAGAAATATGCAACTTTTGGTGAGGTAATGTTATTGTATAATGTACAATGACAAAATGGTGGCCATACATACTTTTCATTTCGCTTCCGGTTTGATGGTGACATTGACCCACTGAAGACAGGAAAAAGAAATGTCCATCCAATATACCGAATGGCCTTAAAGCCAGTTAAATGGTTAGTGTGAAATGTAAAGTAAAATACCTTGGAAAGTTCTTTATTATTTACTGAATTTGCAAAAATTGTTCGAAATGAGATCCTTCATGTTCAACGCACAAGTCACATCGCTGCGACACCGTTCTGCAAACTGACTGACACACTCAAACCTAAATATTCCCGTTAACACGACAGAATATTTTAGGTTAACTGACTTCTAGACCCGCCTGAATATGAAACATTGTTTGTAAGTTAACAACTAAGAATTTGTTGACGGTAGGAGACTTCGACGGTATATCCCACAAATTTTGACAGGATATGTGCTTAAAAAATAAGTTCTTCAAAAATACAAAATATGACACGGACCGCATATAAAACACCGCGTCCAAAAATGACTTTATTGTTGAGTATGTGTTCGTTGCTGCAGGATTCTTCGTTTTACCGAACCGCTGTCTAGCACCGAAAGAGGTATAAACATAAGGACAGATTGACGAGAGAGGTTTATGAAGTACGCCGCTGGGATGGACTCAGGTACCATGATATACATACCAACTTTCATAAAGATTGGTTCAGTCATTCAAAAGTTGATAAAGTGGATACATAGACACACAAACAGCGTGGTGGTCGCATAAGCCTACTATTATTTTTTTTCTTTCAAAATATGGAAAGTAGGCTAATAATCTAGAAGTAAGTAAAGTATAAAGTAAAGGTATCCCTGTAACAGGCCGTGGAGGCCCATAGGATTGTGAGATGTTGAGGTTCCCACATTTGATAGACAATTGGCTCATAGATGGCGGTAAGGCTGTCAGCTTTACGCGCCGGCTCCCCTTCACCCCCAAGAATATTCCTGGTACTCATTTCTGTTAGAGGCTGAGTCGACTCCAGGCCCATAGTGCGGTTGAAAGGATTAGGTCAATTGAAAAAAATCCAATGACCTCATCGGGACTTGAACACGCGACCTACCGGCTTGTAGTATAGTGCCCCAGTATTCATAATATTGTAAGAGATCTGTAGAATTAGAAATCTAAGTAACAGGAAAGTAGGTTTTCTGATTTATGCTACGGAACTCCGTGCTTATTTTATGTAATGCCATGCCGTTTCACTTCTTTCTGAAGTAATCGTGGATACGCCATGCATGTGTTACTTAGCTGACTTTAAATGAAAGTTGATGCAATCTTTCCTTCTGCACATGTTTCAGACAATAGTTACTTATTCTCGACAAGAAATATGACCACACTTACTTCCGACGCCGGGTCCTTCAGTTTCCAGGTATGCGTTTCGTCACCAACTGAAACAAAAGCCAATCAAGGCGTTTCTGATTTTTATGAGCGGAATCTTTCTCCGCTTGATTATTGTGGTCCGTTGCAATCTGAGCTAAGCACAACAGGATATTGCCCGCTGGAACTTCGTAATACCCGCCTCAAACGAATCCCCATTTATCACATTAGAGCAACTGTCCTCTTTTACTTGCCAAGGCCAATGATCTCACTTTAATCTCATTAGGGGTATTCCTAATGGCTGCTTCCCTGGTGATACAGCATTCTATTAATGTCTGTTCGCCTGTTGCGGATTTTACAGTTTCATTCAAACCATTCAATGAAACCCATGGCGAAATGGATGTTTTTATTTGTTGTATTGTGATGTTTACAGACTTTGTAAGGAATATCACGGTGTAGTGGTTAATACAATTTCTTCATATCGAGAGTTCCCGGGTCATACTCTTGGCCTGAAGGCCGGATTCATTATTCACAGAGCCAATTCATCATTCAAAATAATTTTAAAATTCGACACTACCCGAAAAGAGATTCTGAAAGCATCTCCAAAGAACAAAATTGCTACAAAAACAGTCTAAGGGCTATTCTTATATAAAAATGTTGAACTTATTATTCTCCTCGTAAACCTAATCTCAACAGCTGTCGTTTGAATTAATTGTGTTTGATATTGTACAAGCTGTGTTGCTTGATTATTTCTTGAATTTTATATTCATATAAAGTGTTAGTACTTCTTTGATTTCTATTCAGCACTCTATCTGATTTATCACTAAATTTCTGTTGCTGTAAAAGGGTTAAGGAAGTACTACTTTCCACACACACACACACACACACACACACAGAAACACACATGCGTGCGCGCATTTGTGTGTGTATACAGCGGGTGTATGTATTGTAACGGATTTGATCAACGCGTTGGCAGGTAACAACTCTGTAAACATGGTCCAACACGCAACAACAAGGGAAGTTGTGTTTTCTGTAGATCCGACAGACGCGCCAATAGACTGTCTGGGTAGCGTTCACGTGATGTGTCTACTGTAGGTCCATGTCCGTTCAGCGGCTATATAAGGCAGTTACAAGTAGTAGCGGCAGAAGCACGCAAAGAAGAGTATAGCAGTAAGCTAGGCAGAATAGGCCACTGTAGGTCGCGGTGCAAGGTTCGAGAAGGTCCACCCCTTATACATTCATAGCAGTAAGCTGAAGGAGTACAGCAAGCAAGCAGTAAGCTAGAGGAGTACAGAAGAGTAACAAAAGTCAGCCTCCTAAATTTTAACGTATGATTTGAAGACTTTATATACGCTGTAGCACAGTGATTTTGGAAGTGTGTGATTTACTGAGACTTTTATAGTTCCTGTGTTATAAATCCGTGAAGACTAGCGGAGATAGACCGAAGAGAGTAGCGTAGAGTGCTTCGTAGTGTGAAAATCAGTAACAGTGTTATATTTAATTATAGTTACGACCTCTAAGTGGTCAATAAATCTAAACATCAATTCTAACCTCGTCCTTCGTAACTGTGACATGTGACAGTATATTTACATGGTATTTGTTATAGTTGTATAACTTTCACACACATTTTACATTATTGAGCGGTGTATGAATTTAACTCATCGTAATTTTATTTGGGAAGTGGTACCAGGGGTTCTTACCCCTGGTCCTGAATCTAAACACTCACCTCCCACTAGTGTCGTGGCTAAGAAAAAGTGGATCTAGACATCCACTCCCCCGTACGTCTTCACGACGTAGTGCGTAATTAGTTAAGCACAAGGACAATTAACCTTACATCTGCATTTGTTTTCCTTGGCACTACAGCCCCAGTGGGCCTAGGCCTACCTCCATGAACTTCTCCGTTCACTTCGGGTTTTCTAGATCTTACACATTCGGTAGGACTCCTTGGGCGGGTGATCAGCTCGTCGCAAGGCCTCTACGTGTATACAAACACAGAAAAACGCACACAAACAAACTAAACATCCATGTCCTGAGTTGGATTCGAACCCACGATCCCGGTTTCCAAGCGAGCGAAGACAGTACATGCCTTAGACCGCTCGGCTGCCGTGACCGGCTTACATCTGCATTATATGGCTTAAAATTCAATCAGCTATAACACGGTGTAAAACTATTGAAAACTTTGAAGCTACTGCTCTCTGCATTCCAAGCCATTCAACTGCTCTGAAGATGGAGGCGATACGTTCCTCAGAGACGTCGGCCAAAACGAAGAATACACGGCGCCTAAACCCAGAAGACGACTTTCTTCATAGTCATCGCCGTGAAAACCTCAGAACTTATATTTTAAAAACTTTATTCATGTTCCAGTGAGGTAGATAGCAGAGATAATACCACGATTCAGTAATATCTGTAATTTTTTCCCTTGGTGGGGTGGGACTAATTCCACTTGGTACTGCGGCCACTTCTAGCCTACTCTACCCGCCCCAGATGATAGGTGAGGGTGATCGTGGAGCAACTGGTGGAATCAAATTTGGCAGGGGAAACCGAAGTACTCGCAGAAAACCTGCCCCAGCGCCACTTTGCCCACCACAAATCCCACATGATCAGACGCGGGCTCGAACTCGGGCCGCCGTGGTGGGAAGCCAGCGACTAACCGCTTGAACTATGGTGTGGATGTAACATCTGTAGTAAATATACCAGCTGATGATGATGTGACGTCAAAGGGTGTAGTGGTTTTCGATAAAAACATTAGTCATTATTGAAATTCTGTCGACGGATATTAAATTAAATCTAACATTTCGTAATTTCATAAGTACCAAAACAACATGTTGCAGAATATAATGACCGATGGGTTTCAGTATGATTTGCGTGGTACCTTACGTTATGAATATGAATGTGCTCTGTTTTCATATGCCGTGTGAATGCCGTCATTACAAATGGACCTTCAACAATGGAACAGCGTTCTATGTTCTTTTAATTACTAGAAAGATTAACAACAAAAATGTTCAGGGAAGTAAGGAAGTTCAGCGTGTGTTCGTTGTCAATTGGAATTACTTGAAAGTATTCTGCTATCCAGTGAACTCATAGCTTCATCGAAGGTTGGTTTTCAACCAGGGCCTTGTAAATCCAGGTAGTAGCTTCGTGTAGGTACAAGTATATTGGGTTTGGGAAAGAAGGAAAAGCAAGGTTGGGTTCAAACCCTCTATTTTTTTCTGCCCACACTGGAAAAAAAAAAACCCGTAACTTGGTTATTGTCAGATTAGTTGCCAGGTAAGAGACCAGTGCATGTGAGTCGGGACACCAACATGCACCACAAAGAAGATAAACAAGCCATGCAGCTTTTCAGCTAGTCTTCTACTTGTTCCTCCCTCAGGGATGTTAATCTGTCTCTTTCGCTCTCTAAAGAGCATTTTCATCTCTGTCGTTCTAGTATCGGCTGTGTCCGGTAATATTCGGGTCGGACCGACTGAAAGACAAGGTACTGCTGGTTTTGCGGTCTTGCCTTGCTTAGTGCAGTATTATTTGTGCTGCCTGCCAACCATTGCCACCAAGTGGAGGAACCCCGTTCCTCTTACCCCTCCTAGAGAAACTTCAGCTCAGTCACCGTTCTTTTCTTGTGCCGAAACTTGCGCGCGCATACAGAACTCTTCTTTGTTGTCTTGTCTGTTGGTGTGGGTGGGCTGTCGTGGCAGGACCGGAGTCGGTGTGCTGGACTGCTTCTCGCCGTATCGACAACACGTGTGGACTACACTTAGTGCTGTATGTGTTGGTGCCATTGTGATCAGGTGATGTTGCTTAGTGTCGTGCAAGGTGTTCTGTTACGTGCTAGTTACACCAAGACGCCTCTCTTTAAAGTAAAACACATCGGTGTCTGGTTTTATTGTTAGTAAACAGACACGAAGTGTTATGGTGTCACTATAAGAAGCACGGAATGTGTTACTGAAAGCAGTGCAAGAATTACCTTGCCTGAACACCTACGGAAGTCCTGACTGTCGTGCCCAGCGGCTCTCAGCATCATACTGTATGGTGAGGACCTATTGTTAATTGTCTGTTTCTTCTGTAAGCTCTTGCTCCGTAAGGCCCTGCTCTTTATTTTTTTGTATGGCTTCTTACTTATATTTCCTTTAGGAGGGGCGGTGTTGGTGTCTGTATAGTAATCCGCTTCTTAGCACTTGAGGCAACTGGAAAGTAATTTTCCTCCCTTCTGGTGAACAAAAACACTAGATGTTGGTGTCGGATGCAAGCTGGTACAAGTTTAGCACACTCGCTCGCTGGAGAACCTTAAAACAGACCGACATACTAAAAATTGTATGCATGTTTGAATAAATACTTCTAATATTCTCCTCTGTATAGCTTCCGAAAGTTTTTCCTTATACATAATGAATTTTACTGTTCTCGTCACACACTGTACACTTATTTTGACATTTAAATTCTGTATAACAATAATTAAATTCTTCACTCGTAACACTTGAAATAAATTATGCTCTGCACTATTTCCATAATTCGGAGAGAATCAGCATACAACTACTTCAAAATTATCATGGCGTAGTGGAAGAGGAGATACTGTGTAGTAATAACAGGGAAGCAGATTTTTTTGGATTGAAACTTCGATTCATTTAGTTTGTATTTAAGCAATTACATCCATTTCGCGGGCTGAATGTAATAAAGGTGGGTCTGCTATCTGTTTTATATGTGAGTGGTACCATTACATATTACGCAGTCACAATTATATGCACAATATGCAATACTTACATAATACATTATTCATCATGACAATTATATGATTTACAATATTAGATTTCATATATGGATTATTTATATATTGATTTATCGAAGATAAAAACTTGACACAGTTGCCCTTTCGGTTTACTGAAAGTAGTTTATTCTGTATGTAATCGAATTAGACTCTAACCTTCTGAGAAAATGTTTTTAGAAATTTTTGAGAAACCATATGGTAAAATTATCACCTGCTGGAATTGCGGTTAAGTGTTACCGCTTACATATCTGATTAAGAATTACTTATATTAGCTTTCTTGTTATATTTTATAAATCTTTTTCAACCTCATAGGTTATTCGAGCGTCGAGCTCAGGTCGGTAAGTGTAGATCTCTTCTAAATTTATTAACCAGATTCAGTAAAATTTATATTTTTCCTCTTTCCTGTTATCATCAAATGAAAAGAAAATCGTGATTTCCTATTTTGAAGCACTATTTCAGGATCTGTTTAGAGGTACTGAAGAAAATTATAAGCACCTCGAAATAATCATTCTTGGGGCCGATATTGGAATAAGGGGACTCAGACCAAGAAGCATGAATAAGCCTACAACAACACGGCACTCCATAATTATTTATAAACCGCCCGAAGTTATTCCAGGAATAGGGAAAAATGGGTTGTACAAATAAAGGCTTTTGAGACCTCGATACGAGTAGTATAAGTCACTGGCACCGCATAAAGCAGGAGGAAGGAGTAAAATCAAATTTACACTACGTCGCTTAACGTACTGAAACGCAAAGCTTACAGATATTTAAATTAACTTGTCTGACAGCATCAATACCTAATTAATTTAACTGGTGTAGGAGAGGCGTATTTATACATTTCTTATAGTAAACATTAATCACTCGTAATTATTCTAATATGTTCATCTTATTTAGAATTTACAGCTTATTTTGTTTCGTTTCGAGGTGGAATTTGATGGATAAGAACACTTGAAGGAAACTAGTGATCGTAATTCTATACATGTTATTTCCTTGTTCAAGAGAACTCTCAACAGCATGTCAGACTGAAATTCAAAACATTGCTTTCCGGTTGTCGTTTCGAGAATATTTACATATATGTCTAGAAATACTAATCTCTTCTAAATTCAACAACCAAATTAAAGAATGTAAGATTTGAGATTTTCACGGCGGTTACTATGAGGAATGCCGTCTTCTGGAATGTGGCGCCGCGTAGATATTGTGTTAATTGACGTTTCGGAGGAACCCATCGCGCCTCCACACAAGATCTACACGGTGCCACATCCCAGAAGACGCATTCTTCAAATTAAATTTACTTTATCGTTTTAAGACCAAATTGGTATAACAAAATATTTTATTATTCATTTCACATGTATTTGTATAGTTTGCAGAATCCCGATCATTTCAGATTCTATTTTTAAACGTCTTAGAGAGTGTGGACTCTGTAGGGCCTAAGACAAGTTCTTGGTTTGCTCAATATAAGAAGTAACCCTCCCCACCCCCCCCCCACATCCA